AAACAATTTCAAGATGAAGCATTTAACGAAAAAAAAATAGTCTGCTAATGATGCAATCTCCTCCTCCAATTTTTCGTTATTGTTGAGCAAATGCAAGGCTATTAAAAAGGATCTTTAACGTTGAATTCTCTTTCTGAAGCAGTTTTTATCTTCAAAAGTTCTTATCCATCATAAAAAGTGCAGCTAAGAAGGTTGCATTTTAGGGCATTGTTCTGAAGAGGATTCCAAGAGTATTTTCTCGCCTAACAACCATTTCTGACATAACGTTTGAAATGCCGCGCATGCAAAGAATGCGCCGTTATGCACACCTCCGACTGAGTGAATCGAGGTTGGGACAGCTGTGGAGAGCTGATCGAAAAGTGTTTTCGTTTTCAGGTGGAGTACCATCAGCTCGAAAGGAGGTCATCCGGCACAAGATCCGAGCTATAGGCAAAATGGCGCGCGCCTTCTCTGTGCTCAGGTACCGTGTTTGCATTATTCGATTGAACTGCTTGACATTCCTTCCATTTTTTAACATTTCGAATTCCACTGTTCTTCCAATTTTTTTGTGAATCGTTTTTTGTTTTTGTTTTAACAATAATAATAAGACGTGAAGGTTTGATGGTGAAAATGTGTCGAGTTCACATCATCAAGAACCTGTTAGAGGGTGTTTAAGGAACGTTTTGAGCTGTTAGTGTGTCTTTTTGATGTACACTAAAGTTGAAATCCCCTACGTCATTCGTCAATGTTGGCGTCCTTTCCGTTTTCCGTACTGTAAGCTCAACAATGAGCGAGCATCTCTTGTTTAATGCCCTGTTGTTGTGAAAAGCAGTTTGGATGGGTTAGCTCTCAATAATTGAAGACGATAACAACTCAACAGTATCGCGGAAGTGTTGAAATTAGATGTGAAGACCAGTGCCCTAACCATAAGAGGGGGCAGGTGCGGGTATATTGGGGATTTTGTCGGGTTAGTTGGCGTGTTGTGAACCGTGTGAGCCAAAGCAGTGCTCATGGAATGTACATTGATAGCCAAGGAGGGTGCGCCTTTAAGTTTCTGTTTTGCTTCATGTTCTAACCGTCCAACTGGTTATTCTCGCTTTGCCAGTGCTTCTACTGTCATCAGTTCATTTTTTTTCGTGTGGCTATTATTTTAACAAAACAGTCAGTTTGTGTGCCGAGTGTGCCAGGCGCATGTGTTTCATGTCTGTTTTCAGAGAGGAAAGCGAGACGGTGTTGGCGCTTAAAGGTCTCACGGCGCACCGGAACGCTACCGTTGGGCATACTGCATGAGGGTAGACGTGGAGTACAAGAGGGTAGGTGCAATAGCTTACTGGCAATCGAATCATGTTCGGCTGAGGTTGCTTCACTTATCCGGCGGACCGAATCAGATGGAAACATCTCATTGTGGCGTTTGTCGTCCTCCTTAGTAGCCTTCTAACCCGATGTGAATTCGTTGGTTTCTTTGAAATGTGATGCGCCTGTCCGCTCTGGTGTGATACAATAATTACACACTGTTCTGCACGGTGTTTTTTTATTAATTAACCTAACAAAATTCTTGAGTAAACTGGAAATGTTTGAATAGGAAAGTAGTGAGTAGTAGTAAATTCGCAAAATTTCTGAATTCGCATTTAAAGACACGAGAGCGAGACGGTGCTGCAGCTCAAAGGCCTAAATCCAGGAGGCAAACTGCCACAAGGTATTCTGTCCGGAGGAAAGTCGGCACTCGTCGAATGTAGGTTATCGTATTCAGTCGTTACGATCGCTAAACTCAATGTTGGGTCGTTATGGTCGCTTAAATTCGGGCCATTTTCTGCCTTGAACAATATCATACAGTTCGTTTTACTTGATTCTTTAGTTAAAGGCACATTCTGCGATAGCGAAAGCTCTATAAATGTGGAGTTTGACGTGAAACATTCGGTGCTTAATGTCTCAGTATTGAAGGAGAGAAGACGAATAAACCATCGAAATCCTTAGACCCTTTTGTCTGGGCTGTAGGCGAGTCGGGGACACAAACAGTCTAAAGGACACTGAGAGACTAGGAAATATAACGACTACGGCGATGAGAAAGAATGTACTTGAGCACATGTCGTAGCCGGGGTTCGCTTATTTTGAGTCTTGAAAGTGGCGCTGTCTGTGCAGTTGCGAACCCGTCGGACCTATCCAAGGGGGAGGGTTGGTCCGTTGAGCTTAGTGCGGAATGTGCCTTCACCGCTCACCCCACACCCACCAACACACACCACTATTTGTGGTAAATAGTGGAAGCGTCCCTCAGCCCTAGTCTTAGCCTTGTACTGATTGAAGTTTACGTTCGAGGGTTTTGATGTCGACATCTGGTTCAAATTTTCTTGTAAGAATGCAACTAAAGTATTTCATTACTTCTCAAGCCCTAGAAAAGGGGTTTTCAGAGCTGCTGATAGCAATGAATTTTCCTTGAATAGTTAATAAAGGCAGGGTTCGGAGATCCAATTCAATAACATGGAGAATTAGAGCTGTGCTTCTTCTTTTGTCGTGTTCTGATTTTATAATTAGTAGCTAAAACAGGCATTGCTAAAAAATGCTTTGTGCATGCTTACTGACCATTCATTCTCGGGTTCCCGCTTTTTTTACCTTTTTGGGGACCAAACTGTCATTTTTGGTGTTTTCGGCTCATTTTTTGAACTTTCGAATGGCCGCTGCCTTAATATGTATGGGTACCCGATGCGTGATCCATTTTCGCCCGTTCGAGTTCAGGTCTAGCTAGAAGGTCTGTGAGATCCCAAAATTTCGTCGTAGATTTTTTCCGCCGCAATATTGTGACAAGGAAAATCGTACGCTTTTTGACATGTAGCAAGTTGTATGGAAGCTTTTCGAGATAATGAATATGATTATTCAACATGGAATATAGTAAATATGTGATACTCGCATAGTACAGTAAGATTTTATTTGATTTAACAGCACTAGAAGTTGATAGTGATTTCATCGGCAATTGTTTTGGCGATTTTGCCTTCTTCGGAACCTAAAAAGTGGAAACCCATTCACAGCCTATCCAACCGAATATTTCACTTTCCTACGAGACTTTTAAGACCAGCTAAGCCGTAACATGATTGAGTAGCTTTGGTTTCGGGCTTCAAAGAAGCGTAATAACCGAAACGTTTGTCGACGACATGTAAAGTCAACTCGCTGATTGTCTTTCTTTCGTTAGCACATTCCGATTCGCCCGCGATTATTAGCGGTTGACTGAGAGTGCTAGAAACATCGAATTATCTAGTACATGACCACTCATATGAACACGGCTGCCACACTTAATTGGGGTTGCTTTTCTTCTCTTCCAGCCTGGCTTTGGTTTATATGTCTATGGGTAACTTAGAGCAAAAACGCTCTAAACCACATAGTTGTTCGTAGAAAGCAATGATGGTTTTAATTCTTATTTGATTTCCATGTGAATCCTAATTGAAATCAGCCCTGACAGGTGTACAACCGGGCCATCGTATTCAGTCGTTTGCGGAGGCAAAGAGGCTCGATCAGATGAACGAGCGTATGCCGCCGTCGATGGCGACACCTGGACAATCGCCGTCATCGTCACCGCAACCACGTGCGCGTAACGGACCCGATGCATAAGCGCTTCGCCGACGGCAAATCGTCGACGTGCTCTCATCGCCTTGTCATGCCATACACACACCACAAACACTCATCTCTTCCTATCTCTCTTTCTGTCTGTCTGTCCCTCATACTCGCTGCGTCTCCTCCCCAATCTTCTACATTTTTTTCTCCCCGTTTCTCGTCGTTGGTGACATATCTACATATCGAACTAGTCCACAGTGTGCGCATGAGATTTTCGCTTTGTCTAGTCTTATGGATTTTTTTTTTCAATTTAAAATAATTTGCAACACTGCAACACGAGTATTTCTTGTAGAAGTAAAGGCACAAAGTGGCGCGCGAGATCGAGCCCTGACGCGACGTTCAGATGTAAGCTGTTGGCTGATTACAGCTTCAGTTGACTGCGACCTATGACTTCGAGCCGGATACAGGTTTTTTATCATAGAAAATTACTGAGCATGACATTTTCTGCGATGTCAAACAGGATCCGAACTTCGCGATGCTGACGCGACATTCTCGTGAATCATGTACCCCTCCTATCTAGTCCGCGGTTCCCTTCCTTCCTTCCTATAAAAGGCAATCTCGTTTTGATTCGCGATTGTATTCAGGATGCTCTCACACTTCGGACCGCATCTTCAGTACGCATGTTTGTTGGCTATTGATTTTACGCGTTTGTAATCGATATCCAGTCTCCAGTATGCGTTGACACTGTGAGTCCGAAGTTGTGAAAGTAGCCTAGCGCTCGAAATGAAGGAAATCTCCGAAATTGTTATTAGTGTGTTCAAAAACTGAGGAACGTTGTGTAGGAGGTTCAGCTGCTACATATGCTACATTCTAGCCGTAATTATATTGAGGATCCACGTCTAGCTTATATGGGGATTTGACTTTGACTCGTTGTTTGTTTTCATTAATGTTAATCTTTCCGGTGTATAAGGTGTTTTGTTTATTGTTAAGGCTTGGTGTGGAGTGCTTTTCTTTTCTTTCTCTCTTTCTCTCTCTCCCTCTCTCTTGATATTGTATACAACATGCTCCATGTGAGTCAGGCAATAGGTTCACCACCCGCACTGACTGAAGTGACACCCAACCTCACTGTGTAGAAAATTTAGTATTAATTTTGTAATGGTTATAATGGTTATAACCAATTAGGAGAGATTTCCAGGAAGGAATCTGAGCTACCCAACTGCAACCTCGCTTAGATAAATCAACACTGATCCTGTCAATGATTACCCTGTTAGGTGAAGAGATCCAGTTAATTTCTAATCCGTGTCAGTTTTCTGTGGGTATCGCTGTATTCATCTCTTTCTTCCTCTTTTCTGAACTGTATTTAGTCATCTCCGCAAATGGAACATACAAAGGGGTGCCTATAGAAAACTGTATAAACGCAGTCACGGGCTAAAAGTATGGCCGCAGTTCGTGGGATTCAAGCGCGCGGTCGCGTATAGGCAAGTATGGCCACATTTTACTCGTGTTGGAGGTCAGCACTCGCGCGAGGACAGGCCTCTACGTCATTATTGCGGCACGGCGCCTTAGTCCATAGATAAGAGTGAATTTGAGTACTTAACAGTACATGCAACTCGTACTATGTGCGCTCCCCCAGCTTGACTGTTCCCGCCACGGCTATTGTGTACGTATGACCGTTGATGTAGTATTGATATCATTCAGCTTCGGCTTTATTTCATCTTCGCCCATTCATGTCACTGCGCGTGGTTTAACCACGTGTCACCCTGTTTATACCCTCCGCATGCCCATACGATCAATCTCCCGATCATTTCTGTACACCCACACGCAAAACCTTTCCGTGCGTTGCTCATTGTGTTCTTCGAATAGTCTCCATCATTCTGCTCCCACTCACCATCGTTCTCTCTATCAACACAACAATCGTGCACCAATTCTTTACGATCATCCTGGCAACAACACCATGACGACTACAAATCCCCTTCGTTCGATAACTTTTAAGATATTATTTATGTCCTCAATTTTTTTTGTTATATGCGTTTTTTTTTTCGTTTGTAATTCTGTGTTGCAGAAGTCTTATTTATATAAAAATATTCCGTTGTAAAATTACGTTTTTGTGGAATGAAACAGAATTAATCAAGAATTATCGTTAATGTGAAGATGAATGCAGAGTGCATTACTTGTGGAAATATTATTGTCCACTGAATGTATCACTTCAGGGGGGTGGGGAGTGGGGAAGTCGTTCAGGGCTGTGCTTTTTCAAAACTATTTTCTGCATGTTTATGCTTATTTGTTATCTTTCTTGTGTAATAGGTCTCGAATTTTGTGATTTTGGCCACTTCAACGATTCCTGCGATTTGGGAGCGCGCAGAGGGCCAAAGCTGACGTGCGATTAAGTGAGCCCCTCCTTCCTAGGACCACTTCCTGGTCCCTGTATCTCAAGCTTATAGAATAATCGCTTTATTGTAATCGGATTTCCACGTCGAAACTAGGTCTTAGATTACCGATGATTTGGCGAGAAGCACGAGGCAAAGGAAATGCTCCAGCGATTTACGCAGCAACAGCGGTCTGCAGTCTGGTCTTCTGATACGACTCCCCATCACCACGATCAAACCCTGATATGGCACCACTCTCCAACCTCGGCCAACCCCTACCATCATGGCTGTTTCTATAGTACTATGATGCTAAAACAAATCAACTCAGCCCGAAACTCTGACCACCTCTTCAGGCTGGTGTTGAGAAGGTGGGCGGAGTTTCAGGCAGGATCTGCGATCCGTCGCACGATTCGCACGAATCGCGGACTCTGACACAAGCCAACAACAAAACGACCGTGCCGTCGAGCGTAGGGGGTGAAGGGGGGGGGATGGACGGAAAAGCGAATATTCTAATTTTGTCTATTATGCTTATCATTAGGGCGGAAGTGGTGCAGTGACAAGTGGCGCGCTCACCACGCGAGCGGTCCGGGATCAAATCCTGGGTCGTGAGTCGCCCGGGCCAACCAAGCCTTCCATCCCTCCGGGGTCGGTTAATTGGTACCAGACTTGTCTGGGAGGATAAAAACACTGACTTGTACATCGGCTGGCCCCCGCAAGTCATTGTATAGGCCACATCGCATTCAAACGCCACTGCGAATGTACAAATGGAAGTAGAATGCGTGCCGCATCCCAAAAAGGGATTGATCAACGGCAAATGCTTTATTTTTATTATTATCCTTTATCCTTCATGCTTATCATTTCTGAACTTCACCAAAAATCGACAGGAAAACTTTTCAAAAACGGACCCCTCTCGCACTATCACGGCCCCTTCCACTTCTAACGATGAGGCTTCTGTCGCCCTTTTGAATCGCACCAGCTCCATTATGCTGCCCCTACAGAAACTGAAAGAGGAGCTCCCCTCTAAGGCCTGCACAGCGAACGGTTGACCCTCCTCGAAAATTTGCTGCTTACTTTAGTTTCACGATAACGCTCACAAGCCTTTCCTCGCAGTGCCAGTTACGTTGGGCCTCAGCAGGCCTTTGGGCTCGAGCACTCGACTTCTGTGTGACACATTAGCGGCTTGTTTGCGAATACTTTATCTGAAACACATCCCACGTAAATTATGTCTGATAATCAGGCTTCCACATGGAATCAAGATCACATGGCAAATTCATACAGAGGCGCACTCATCATTGATCATCCTATGTATTTGGGATACGCTCACTTACCCACTCACTCACTCACTCACCCACCCACTTACACGCATGACTGTAGTAGTACTTGAATGCAATTCGACTCCATCACGACCTGCAAGACCAACGAGTTGAGATTTTACTTTATAAAATCTAAGCGATAAAGATAAATTGGTCTCTATAGATGGATGTCTATGTTGAACTAGGCAGGTCGATCCTGGACCTGAATCCCTACCCGTGCGCAGTGTGAATGGCGCCACTTGCCACAACGCCACCTCGTGAACGCATAAAAATGTCGCAGTAATTGTTTCGAAATTCAGACGATGGAATTTCTTCGCAGCCTCTTGAAAACGGTCGATGGGTTATCTGAACTCGGTCCTTTAACCCATTGCGGACCGCGTGCTGCACATGGTGCAGCACGCCACCACGCGGAGAAGGACAGTAATCTGATTTTTTCAGCATTTTGTTAAGTTACAAACTCATGAGTTTTTTTTTTTGGACACGGGATATATCACTTATTGGCATACTGGCTAAATTTTTGATAGGTCATCGCTCACTGATTAAACAGATGACAAAAACCTACGGAGGTGCAGCTATAACGGCGGTCCGCAATGGGTTAAGGACCCCCCCGCCGCGGCTGCCTCAATTCACACTCTCGTCTGCGCTCTCTCGGCTATGAGCGGCTAATGGCCACAATAACCCTCACACTCAAAATTTTGCCTGTATTTGGCTCACCCACCCCGAAATCCCTCCCCCTATAAGGCTTAGTCCTGGTTTTTGGTCACCTTCGTGGATTTAGAACCGATCCAGGCGCCGTTCTCTAGACGTCTGTGCTCACCACAATTCGTGGCAGAACCACAGAGAAAGTTCAAGTAGTCCGTAAACCCTTGAAAACATGTCTCATATTCTGTCATTGGTACGTCATTTTTTGCGTTTCACAGCGTGATTATATACTATGTGATCGTCGTCGATGTACTAGTGTCCCTTTTTAGCATTTGCAATGAGTGCAGTGAATCTCGGATTCGGGGGGGGGGCACGCGATGGCGCGTCTGATCCTCCAAGGCTTAGTCCACAGGGACAGTTACTCTTTCGCCATTATGTGGCAGTTTCAAAATACGCGCCATCGGTGACTAAGCCTTGGTAGAGCAGACGAAAACAGCGCCGCGCCATCGCGTGCCCCCCCCCGAACCCGAGTTTCACCATGAGTACTCCATTCAAAGTTTGCTTACACGAAAACGTAAGTTCAAAGGACATAGGAAATTTTGCGACAAAGATTACTTTCAAAGCTACGAAGTTCTAG